CCCCCCCCTTAATTTCTTTCTTTAAATCCCACCCCCCACATTTTCTTTTAATAAAAGACACAAAGGCACAAGGATTTTGTTTTGTTGACTCTTTGGTTGTTTTCTGTTTGTTTCCTATGTTTCACTTTTTTTTTTTGCTTTTATTGAGTAAGTACACCTACAGATTTTTGAGTCATTAGTAATACGTGTAGACATATTAAATGTCTCCACTTTATCTGAAATCTGACCTGAGGCGAATCTTGCAGCAGCACTTTTTGCTTCCTTACTGTTAATAACAATGCTGTTATCTCTTATTTACAAAACTCTATTCTCCCATGTCTGCATTCCTGTGGAGCTGTTGACTTTCGTTCTGCTTCAGTCTCTTTACATTAAGTTCAATATGATCTGTTACATTACTGGTATTCCTGTAGAAGTTGGTGTAAGATTTACAATAAAACCACTTGATTACTCCCGCTTTTTGGAGCGTGCTGTTAGAAAATAATCGAGGCTTAAGAATGTCAACCCTCTGAAGTGTAGGGCTGGCATTGGGGGAGCTGCAGAGGGAGAACAGCTGCACACTTGACTGCCATATAGCGTACTACCTAAAAAGATGATTCTTTGGGTTTTCCGAATACAATAGTATTTGCACTTCAAGGTTTTTTGTAATCATTTTTTATCTTGGGTCTTTTCTGGGAGAAGAAGTGGGACTACTTTTACTTCATCTGCTGTTAACCAAGTTCATTAAAAGCAATGTTTTATATTCCAGTAAGAACACCCGTGGCATTTTTAGTATTACGCTTATGGGTTTATCATAGAATAGAATCATAGAATCGTTTAGGTTGGAAAAGACCTTTAAGATCATCGAGTCTAACGGTTAACCTAGCACTGCCAAGTTCATCACTAAACCATATCCCATCTACACGTCTTTTAAATACCTCCAGGAATTTATGTGCATCTTATAATTTATGTGCCTCTTATAATTGTCTTTTGCAGAAGAGAGTTTTCAGAGGTGAAAATAATTAACAGCTGATCAGTAATAGACTTTGCTTTCGTTTGTGGCTTGTTAAATGTCGTTCCTGTATTATCATCCAGTTGCAGGAGGACAGTTTACTCTGTGTGACAGGCAAAGTTGAACTCTTTGGAAGTAACTACTCAAGCAAGACCCTCTTCACATGGGTATTGGTGTTGGGGAGGGGGGGAACAAGACCCTTATAATCAGTATGTGGTCTCTGGATGCACCGTTGATGTAACATCATCCTGCAGCTTGAAATGGGCAGCTGTACTCCCTCACCACCCATCCTGCCAAAATAGGTGTGCTGGGGTGAGCAAGGGAGCTGCAACAGAAAACTTAAAGATGGAGTGTTTTTATTTGGGGGAGTTGTGTGATTTGTGAGATTTTCTGTTAAATTCATTAAAATCACACTGACCTTGTGCGTCAGTCTGGGTTAACACCATGAAGGGAAGCGGTACGACCCTGTTGCGTAGGAAGGTGGATGGTGAAGAGGGTGAGAGCAGGCTAGTCCCTTTGAGACTGTACCCCTGAAATAATGGTGTTTCTTCTGTCTGCTGGGGATTGTTGGGTCAGGAAAACACCGTTTGTGTTCTGCCCTATTAATTTTGGCAAGTACGTTCAGTGTGTTATACTGGCCAAGCAGACTTGGAGGCTGGATGTCTGGCAGCAAGAATTAGTGGAGCTGCCGTGACAAACCCAGGACTAGACGCTACTTTGCCTCAATCGCCTTGCAGGGATGCTTCTGAAGGGGCGAGAGGGAGCCTTGCCTGCCCATCTCCTTAAAACTTGCTCCTTGCTGGTGTAGTTGGATAACACACTTTTTGTGCAATGTAAGCAGCTAATTTTTCACCTGTGAGTTCCTGTTGTAGCATAGTAATTCCATGGCTTTAACAAAGTACTGAAGAGTGATGAATTCATACCAGTAACGTAGTGCAGTTGTCTTCAAAAGGTGCTCTGATGGGGGTTCACAAAACTTGGGAAACAGTATTTTTTGTGAAGGAGTGAAAGATCGTGTGATATGTACTGGCCAGCTGCGTGGGCTCGTAGTGGTCTTCTGGCCCCAAAAGTCTACAAGCCACAGAGCTAAGATCACTTCTCTCCTGAGCTATCTGGAGCACTTTGAGGGTGTCTTCAGGTTTTTGAGGGTTTGTTTGGGGAGGGGCATTAAAAGAAGCAGGCACTTAATTCTTCCCTGCAATGAGGGATCAATTTGATGAACTTCACTGAAATGCTAATAGTAATGTTTGCCATTTGTGTTTAAATAAGTATATCAAAATGATCAGGTTTTAGGAAGAATGGGTGTTACCTATTTCATTAACTTATTTCATGTTTTATGTTTATTTCAGCTCTTTAGAGAAGTAAGAATAATGAAGATCTTAAATCATCCAAATATAGGTACCTTGTTTCTTTCATATAATTTCTAACTCTGGAGAAATGTTAGCTTTTTCACTGTTAAAATTGTTGTGGTATGAGTTTCAAAGATGGTTCTGCACTAAGGTGTCAAATTACTGTAAAGTAGCAGTAATAAATACTTTTTCAGAGCTGCGTGTTGAGGAAAAAAAAACCCAACATTTTGGTCCCTTTGCACAAAATGTTATTTGCATAGCTAACTGATAATTTTGCTCCTCTTGAGTATAATATTGAATTTGAATGAATTCAAGCTCTCATTAAAAGTAAGTATATACCAAAACCAAAAAGCCGTCAAGAAATTGTTTGGGATTGTACATTTAAATGGTGTAGCATTGTTACAGGACTATCAGCAAACTGACTCATTTGTCACCATGTATGCCAGTTCAGTGCATAAAAATGGCTATTGCTGATACTCAAATCTGTGGAAGTTCTGTTTAATTTAGTTGCTTTTCCCATGTAACAGGAGCAAAGTTTTTTTTCTTGAGAAAATGGTGTTCTGTGTGAGTTGACCAGATGTGTTACAGTATTTTCCATTTAGGAACATTAGACAGAAAAAGCTTCTTAGGAGTAATAGTCTGATATTTTTAAGCAGCAAGCAAATAGGATTGTTTTTTTTTTTCTCTGACAATTCTTTGTGGGGTTAACATAATACTTCTGCAACTAGTTAACTGATTAATAAATGGCTTTCTTTTCTAGTGAAGCTATTTGAAGTCATTGAAACTGAAAAAACTCTCTATTTAATAATGGAATATGCAAGTGGGGGTAAGTACCTCTCTGCTGTGATGACACATGTAAATAAATTGCCAAGTGGGAGAAAGCACTTGTTTTCTTTGAAGTTTTGCTTTCTTTTTCAGCAAGTATTAATGTCATGGTAGTGTAAAATCTTAAGCAAAATATTTAATATTCTCTGGTATGTCTTTGGGCAACATAGTTAATTATAACTTGTAAAACTAGCTTACTGCAACTTTTGCTTTGTTTTCACAACTCAAATTTAATGGGAATCTTTGTTCTGCCATCAATTGTTCTTTTCCGTAACAAATGCCAACCTTTTCAATTTATTGTATTCAGTTCCCTACCTCTGGTGTCCTATTTTGTGTAAGATATTCGGTAAAAACGTGTTCAGATGAAACATTTTCTTTAACTGTTGCTTTGAAAAGCATGAGTACTGCAACTTCTATTTTTTAGATGTTGATGACATTCTATGTGTCTTAATCACAGACCTGCTACTGTGAAGAGTTGTTAGGCTTAGCCTTACGCCATTTTAGGAGGAACTTAAGCATTTATTCCTGATTGCAGACGGGGGAGAAAAAGAGCACATCATGCAATGTCAGATATTTTCACCAGAGCTAGAATTAAGGTATTCAGGCTTAAGTTACTCCTTGCTGGCTAAAACCTAATAGCACTCAGTTTGTCAGTGTGACCCTTTAGCATCAGCAGCTGGGAATCTCAATTAGTTGAGGCTTTTCTTTAGTTTTGGGAGGGAGATAGAGAGACTTCTTTTCAGAGAAAATCAGTATTGAATTCTGACTCTGATGTTAGATTACGTGAAGTTTAATGAATTACTATAAATCAGGTAATGATTCTCTACCTGCCTATGTTTTCTTCTAGCAACTCCCTAAATGCTCAGCCAAGATTTGTCTAAACAGAAACAAAGTTGGTAAAATACTGTTAAAATATTGGCTAGTACAGGTATTTGTGGAGGCATCTCTGTGTTGTTTGATGGTACTAGACTTAAAAGTGAAGTCCTATTGCCATCTAGTGATTAGCTTCTAGGAGGTTGAAGGGCCAGCGGTTCTCTAAAGCAGTGAGGATCTATCTTAAGGTAATGGAGAGATACATACTGTACTGGTCTAAAAGGCCATAAGCAGCACCCTTTGCATGTGCCATGTTGTGCAAGGCAGGAATGGCTGGTAATATCAGTGGCAGGCATCAATTTTCCGTATTTCCTCTTTATCAAGATACTGGTCACGCATGATGCATATGAACTCTGTGGCTGCAGGATGAAAGAAACTATTGCTGTAACTGCAACGCTTCGCATAAATTGGGGATAATTCTTTCTCTGATGTCATTTTTCTTGAATTGTGAAGAAGTGTTCAGGTTTGTTCCTTCAAGGTTTTTGAAGAAACAGCTGTGAAATACAGCTGAGAGAGTTATCTGAGTTGAGTATTAAATAATACGCTACAGAGGCAAGTAAGGCTACTTTGTAGAAAATCCTGACATTCCCTCAGATTGCTCAGTTGTTGCTTTTCCTGCTATGTGACTCTTGGGTTTTTATTCAAATTTGGTGGAGTTGCTTCTTTTCAAAAATAAACGTGAAGTTACTCAGCTTTTCCCTTGTGAGGTGGCTATCTACAAAACAGTGTTTTCTTGCTTAGTGGAGAAGATTTAGATATTTGATACACTTCTAAAGTTTTTATTAATTTTGCATATTAGCAAAGAATTTTTAAAACTGCGTACTAGTGTGTGTTTGTAGGAGTTCTTATGTATGTGACTTGGTTTTTAGTAAAGAAAATCTGCCATGCTTTCACAAACATGTCATTGGCCAGTTGGCTGCACCTAAAACTCAAACGTTGTAGTCCGTATTGAAGTGCTGTAAAATGACTGGATTGATTAAAGGGGAAAAAAAACCAAAACACAACAGATTTTTAGTACTGCTTTAGTAATCTCCTTTAGTTGTCCACAGCCATACAACATTGGGCTTGTTCAGGAGTAATCCTTCTCAGCGTGTCTTACAGATCTGATGGTTGTGTGATGGATTATGTCACTGTGTCCTGCTATGCTCATTATTGTGACCTTCCTTGTGGGTACCTCTTCTAAGCCTAGATTAAAGCTAAGATTTCTGATTTTGGTTAGAACATGTTTATACCCATGCACAAAGAAAAATTCTAGTGCTGGTATGACAATATTTACAAATATCATCAGATTTCTCATACATGAAGCTTTTTTTTGTGGGGCAGAAGAAACCCCTGTGAGAAAGTCTGTGGAGGGGTACATGTCATCTCTATTCATAAAATAGAAGTATGCTGCTCAGTTTCTATCATAAATAATTGGAAGGAAATGTGTTTTTTTTCCTGTATCGAGTCTTTCATTAAGTCTTAGTATTTTCTTGTATAAGAGATGACGGTGTAGTAAATTGCATAGCAGTTGTGTCTTGTTCTCTTGAGCTAACCTGTAATCATAAACTTGAAGTACAGACATTCCAGTGAAGCTGCTGTGGGCAACTGCTAGAGAGGAATCTCTATATTCTGAAATTGGCATTAATGTGTCTCATTATTGAATTGTAGGGGAAGTGTTTGACTATCTGGTTGCACATGGAAGAATGAAGGAAAAGGAGGCTAGAGCTAAATTTAGACAGGTATGTATAACATTCCTATATATCAGCTCTCCCCCCCCCCCCACTTTTTTATTTG